GGGGTGGGGGAAGCAGGCTCCCCGCTGAGCAGAGAGCCTGATGCGGGGCTTGATCCCAGGACCCCGAGATCATGACCTGAGCGGAAGGCAGAGGCTTAACCCACTGAGCCACCCAGGCACCCCAAAGCTTACAAGTTTTCATCATGTTTTATCTTATAAAGGCAAGGGGGACATGGGATCTCCTGTATTATTTCTTAAAACTGCATGAGAATTTACAGTGATCTTGAAATAAAAAATTTAAAGAAAAGAGCAAGAGGAGAAACTTTTTTTTGAAAGTAGAACTTTGGGATAGTATTATTTTTAACCATGCAGCTTTTAACAAGGCGCAGGCAGAGGAACTCCTTTCTTTCTTGTCCTGTGTTGGGAAAGAGTGAACAGGAGCCTTTACGCCTCTGAAAGAGCTCAGTGCGTGCTTTTCTCTGCCAACTAGCTAACATGGAGTCTCAGTAACTTCTGGTTTAAGGAGGCAAGTCTTAGCACTCTTATTATCTTCATCAACTGCAATGATAAGGAAGCACTTTAATTACTGCAGAACGCTGACCAGGAAAGAATAGCCTTTTACAATTATTATTTTTTTTTTTTTTAAGATTTTATTTATTTATTTGACAGAGATCACAAGTAAGCAGAGAGGCAGGCAGAGAGAGAGAGAGAGGAGGAAGCGGGCTCCCTGCTGAGCAGAGAGCCCAATGTGGGGCTCGATCCCAGGACTCTGGGATCATGACCTGAGCCGAAGGCAGAGGCTTTAACCCACTGAGCCACCCAGGCGCCCCCTTTTACAATTATTTTTGAGGCAAAAAGTAACAATTTAATATTCACCTGTCCCTGGACAGTAGCATTCTTTCCTTGAAGAACATTGGGACCAAAATGGGCCAGGATTCAGAGGGTTAGGGTGTCCAGCATATTTTCTGACTCCTCCCCTTCCTAAATGGGCTCATTTAGCCAGTTTCTAAGTGGTGTGTCCCATACTGTAAATGCTCACGTGTTGGAAACAAGCAAAGACAAACACCTGTTGTTACGGACTGAATATTTCTGTGCACCCCCTGCCCCTGGCCAAATTTGTAGGCTGGAGTCTTACACCCCAGGTGGTGGTATTAGGAGGTGGGGCTGTGGGGAGATTGGGATGAAGTTGTGAAGGTGGGGCCCTGTGATAGGGTTAGTGCCCTTTTAGGAGTCATGAGAGGGCTTGCTTCGCCTCTCTGCTTTCCACAGTGGGAGGAGGTACGGTGATCTCAGACTTCTAAACTGTGGGAAGTTAATTTCTGTTATTAGAAGCCACCAGTTGCCAGTACCTGGTTGTAGGAGCTTGATGTGACCGAGACACCAGCACAGCCAACCGGCGCACCCCACCCCTAACATCAGCCACACCGCACCCCTAACATCTCAGGGTTAGCAGTTCTCAAGCCATTTATTTCAGGATTCCTTTACTCTTAAACATTATTAACGACCCCAAAGAACTATTACTTTATTTTATTTTTGTAAAGATTTTATTTACTGATTTGAGAGAGAGAGAGAGAGAGAGAGCATAGAGGGAGAAGCAGACTTCCTGATGAGCAGAGAGCCTGACGCAGGGCTCGATCCTAGGACCCCGAGATCATAACTTGAGTTGAAGGTGGACACTTAATCGACTGAGCCACCCAGGCACCGCCTCCCAAAGAACTTTTATATCTGATATGTTTATTTTTATTAAATATTTATTGATTCATTTTAGAGAGAAAGAGCGTGAGGGGGGCAGAGGGACAGGGAGAGAGAGAATCTTGGGCAGACTTGGCACGGAGCAAGCACAGAGCCCCATGTGGGGCTTGATTTTAGGACCCAGATCACAACCTAAGCCAAAACCAAGAGTTGGGACCTTAACTGACCTTGCCACCCAGACTCCGTGTGATATGTTTATTTATAGCTTATGTACTATATAGAAATTTAAAAAATATTTGAGTTCATTTAAAAATAATAAACGACTACATATTAACATACATATTTTTTTTAAATAAAAACGAAATTTTCCAAAACAAAAAAGTTAAGTGATAAGAGTGGCATTGTTTTACCGTCCTGGACGTCTCTTTAATACCTCATTTAATAGAAGACAGCTAGATTCTCTGATCTGCTCCTGCTCTCAGTCTGTTTTGATGTCATACATTATGTGGCCTCTGGAAAACTTCACTGTACATGCGTGAGGGGCTGATACAGTTATTAGGAAGACAGTTTTGATCTTGTAGATCTAGCGCAAGAGTCTTGAGGATTCCCCCACCTCCCCAGGTTTCCAGGCTGCACTTTGAGAACTGCCATTTCTGTTCGAGTCTAGGGTGCTTCCCATAGGTGCTTTCCACTGCGACACTCCTTCTTTGAAGTTCTGGTGATATTCATGAGCTCTGTGTCCCCATGGCACCTTGACCTGCGACCTCCTGTGATTGTCTGTCAACCCCTGCTAGGCTGTGGGCCCAGTGGAGGGAGACACTCAACTTTATTTTATTCACCTTTATATCCTCAGGAGAGAACACAGTGTCTGGCCTCCATTAGGCATCGAATAAATTCATGTTTTAGTCTAAATACATGTTTTAATTTTGAAAGCTATATATTTACTGGGGCGCCTGGGTGGCTCAGTCGTTAAGCATCTGCCTTCGGCTCAGGTCATGATCCCGGTGTCTGGAATCGAGCCCCGGGGCCTGGCATTGGGCTCCCTGCTTGGTGGGAAGCCTGCTTCTCCCTCTCCCACTTCCCCTGCTTGTGCTCCCTCTCTCGCTGTGTCTCTGTCAAATAAATAAAATCTTAAAAAAAAAAGCTGTATAGTTATCACTATATTATAGGAAATAGGGACAGTAGAAAACAAAACTCCCCATCAGCCAAATATTATGTCTTGGGTGTATTTTGTATCGGTCTTTTTACAAAATACAGTTTTTTGGAGCTAGTACTATATCACATACAATAAATGAACATCATAATTTTGAATAATTTTTTTCCCCTCAGGTAGCAATGGTTAAGTTTTTCTTTTTGATGTCTGTGACTGCATATCCAACCCGTGGCCCTAACCCAACGTCCTAAGTAAATATCTAACATTAGCACGCTTAGGATGCTTCCAGATCGTTGTTGTAATAAATACAGTGATCCTGTGAGTACCTTCACACATACAGCTTTTTGGACATTTAGTGTTATTTCCTTAAAATAGATTCCCAGAAGTAAGATTACTGGGTCAAAAGATGCAGACGTTTTTTATGGCTTTTAATACCTACAGTAAAATTGCTTTTCAAAAGGGTTATACTAATTTTCAATGCCACCAGCGCTTTCAGGAACGTTTCACTACCCCAATCGTCAACATAGGCACTATTAAGAATGTCGATCAGTAAAGTATTGTACCCTAGTTGTCAAAATTTTGCATTTTTTGAGGCTCATGAAATGAAAGTTTGTTGAAGAGCGAGTGTCTAATACAAAATATTCTTTTGGGACATCTTTATTTCTGGAAAACTTGAGATTTGGGTACTTGTGAACACTAGAAAAAGAACGCATGTTGTTAGGACCGGCACAGAATTCACTTTGACATTCAGATCCTAACGCCCAAATCCTCCAACGGGGACCTTGCGCTGATTCTGCACAGCGGAGGGATGCGACGTTCCCACTGCCAACCACACAAGACGCACCCAGAGGGGCTGGAGTTCTGCTTCTGCAACTTTTCTCCCCCCTCGAACTTGCAGGTGTCTGCCCTCTCCTTTGTTTCTTGGCACCGCCTGCCCACGTGCGCCGGTGCTGAATTTCTCCGGCCCGAGGCCTCTCCCTCCCAGCCACCTTGCGCGGATCCGGGCTGCTCCGTGCACCCAGCGCCGGAGCGCGGGGCGGACTCGGACTTGTAGGGCAGCCGCGGCGGCGCGTCCGTCCCCCGCAGGAGGCTCCCGACCTCTTCCAGGCGGGCCTCCCCGCGGCGCGCGTGCGGCGGGCGCCGGCAGCTTCGCGGGGAAGAGCCCCAACCGTGCGCCCGGGACGGAAGGAGACTCGGCCTGTGTCGCTCTCCGGGCCGGCGCTGCTCCGAGATCGCCTCCGGCGGCCTCATCCTGGGACAGGCACTTATGAGTCATCCGCTCTGCGGGTCACATGGCCAACGTGACCAAAATAAAGTTTCAGTATTTTAAGCCGCTAGAAAAGGGGACAACGGAGCACACCGGAGGCGGGCAGCGGAAGGCGGGCACCGGCGGGCACGGGCGTGCCGGGCACCCGCGCGAGGGGCCGCGGCGGCGCGGGCGCCCGGGGTGGGGGGCGGGGCGCCGGGGCCGGGGTGAGGGGGGGAGGGGGAAGGGGCGGGGCCTGGAGAGACGAGCCCCTCCCCCACGGCCGGCAGCGACGCCCGGACTCCCGGGCCCGCCGGCTCCGAGCACGGCGCCCGGCCGACCTCCGCCCCGAAGCCCCGGGCCCCGCTGCCGGCGGGCGGCGGCAGGCCGAGGGATTCCCGAGATCCCGCCGTGTCCTCCACTGCCACAGGGACCCCACGCGCCGGCAGCGGCTTCCCCGGGAACGTCCTTCAGCCCCGGGAGCACGCGGGAAAAGCCCCAGCGCGCCAATGAGCGAGCGCCTTCCTCCTGACGGTCACGCTCGGGGGCGGGGCTTCCCTTCGCCGCTCCCGAGTTCCGGGAACCCCCTTTGATTGGTCTGGACGGCCTGGGAAACACTGTAGTAACGCCCAATCAAAGCGCCACGTCTCGGCCTCGAGGAAATATTCCGTGTCGGCTCTGTCCTAACTGGGCAGTTCTTTCCGGCTCTGGCCACTGGGAAGCTTTGTTTAGGTCTGGAAGGCGGGCTTTCCTGGGAGTGGGTGGGGAGGGGGCGTTGATTCTTGACCAATCCTTTCATTCCGTTGGGTGGTGACCAGCCAATGGGCCGGGCGGATAGGACGCTCCTCCCGGAGAGTAGTGAGACCCCTGGTGCGGGGCGATTGGTGGCGGGCACTATGAGTGGCAGCCGCACGGCCCAACAGGCGCAGTGCGTGGGCCGCGGGGCGGGGCCAGGGCGGGTGCGCGGCGGCGGCGGGGTGGCTGGGCCGGCGGCGGCGGCGGTACGAGGCGCGCGCTCGGGGTCCCGGTCGCGAGGAGGAGGAGGATGTGGCGCGCGGAGGGGAAATGGCTGCCGAAAACAAGCCGGAAGGTAAGAGCCGGCGCGTGAGGGGCCGGGGACGGCGCGGCGGGCGGCGGGACCCGGCCCCGCCGGACATCCCGGGCATCGGCGGCGCCGGGCGGGAGCGCGGGGGCGCGGCGGCGGCGGCGGCGGCGGGCGGGCGGGCGCCCCGGGTCGGGGAGGGGGCGGTGGGTGGGGGAGCGGAGCGCGGCCGGGTCCTGAGGTGACTCGCCGGGCGGCGGAGCGCGGCGCCGCACACCCCCACCCGGGGGCGGGCTGGGGCCGGAGGGGCGGGGGGCCGGCGGGCGGGGGCCGGGCCCAGCGAGGAGGAGGAGCCGGCGGAGGGAGGGCCGGCGCCTCCCCCACCCGGACCGGGCATCCCCGCCGCTCCCGGGCCCGGCGCGTTCCCCGCCCCCCGAGCCGGGCCCGGTGGGGGCCGCGGGGCGGAAAGTTTATCCGCCTCAGGCCCCCTCCGGCCCCGCGCCCCGCTGCCCCGGGCCGGTCCCCGTCGGGGGCACGGTCGGCGCTCAGCCCCGCCGCCGGTGGCTCTCGGGCGGCAGGGCCAGGCGGACTCCGTCCAGCATCACCGTGGAGCCCCATGGGCGCCTCCCAGAGCCGGCGGGGGTCCCCGTGCTTCTCCCCGCCAGGGGGACCCCCTCCTGAGCGTCCCCGGGCAGAAGGGCCTCGTGTGACCCCTCCCCCTTCCCTGCCTGGGAAGGGGGCCTGCGCAGCATCCCCGCCCCTAGCAGCCGTTCCCATGCTACTCCTGCCCTTGCACCCCTCACAGCCAGGAGGGTGGGGTCTCCGTTTCTATGGCAAGTGAGGCTCTCCATACTCCCTTGCCCTTTACCTTCTGTGACCCTGATCCTTCTTTGGCAGAGGGGTCTGTCTCAGCCTCCTGTCTTCTGTGCAATCTTTTGGGGCCTCCGCACACCGTCTACTGACCCTTTAGCCAGGACAAGGGGACTCGGGCTCCCCCTGTTCTTCTCTCACCCAGAGGGTAGTGGGGGCCTGTGCAGCTCTGAAGTCATTTCTAAATAGGAAAGCAGATACTTCTCACAGATTAGGCATACTCTCTGCACACTTTCCCGGGTTAGGGTGAGCTCATTTCCTGAATACCCTTTGAGTTGCCCTCTTTTTCTTAGGGGAGAAAGTGGACATTCTAGTGCTCCTTTCCCCATTTGGCTAGCTCCCCTAACATGTTCTCTGTCCTCAGAGTTTCTTGTCTGGGTGAGGGTAGGGGCCCTGACCGGATGTAGGGCAGAGCTTCCATTGTGCCTAGTACTCCGGTAAGAGGGGGATACGGTGGTCACACGAGGGTCTGTTTTTGCTTCCATTTCACTCTTGCCTCTGAGGTAGGGACAGCGTTCACCAGTTGACGCTTCCCCACCAAGAATGTGGTCTTGTGCCCTTGTTTTTTGGTGTTCCCATCACTGTCTTCTGTGCAGTAAGAACCTGACTTTGTACATCCTGCATTCAAGAGTTTTTGAACCTTCCCTGGAAATAAACTTCCCATTTCTTTTTTAAGAGAACCCATATCCTCCTTATGGCTTCTGTTTCCCAGTCAGCCATATTTAGTGAGCCTGTTACCTTGACTTTTTCTGATTTTCTTAAATTGTATTCATGTTGGCTGGGTAAGAAGAAGCCATATGCCTTTCCATCTAGAAAAGGGAGTGTAGACACTCATGTCGCCCACGTGCCGTTCGGGAAGGGGTTGCTAGTGTGCTTCTTGTTGTACTAGAACCTTCCTTTGGCCTCGTGTTGTCTCTCATGGGATCTGAACATTTTTTTTTTTTTTTTAATCTTGTAGCTTTCAGGTGAAGGGAAAATTTGGGTGCTTTCTATTTTTTTTTTGCTGCTCTGGTTCTCTTTTGGCGAAAAACACGATGCCATGCATTTGTTGGTATATATACACATGTAGGTATGCATTAAAAGACAAAGTCACATCTGTCACTTACACACCGTAAGTAGGAAGGGTTACATGGCTAGCTCTGCATTCTGTGTGTACGTGGGGACCTTGACGTGTACCAGTATGAATATATATTACTGTTGTTGGTAACTCTTCTGGTTTAGAAGAATCAGAAAACTCGTTGATAAATGGCTAGTTTTTACCACTCTCTCATTTGTCATTTGTACTGCACTGAAAAGCAGAACGCCGTCCTGAACGTTCACGAAGTCCCCGAATACAGAAGTGCACAGCCTCGCCGACGCACACCCCGACTTGGGCATTCTGAATTCAGGGGCAGCATTCTCTGCTTGATTTTTCGTAGAGTGAAAAGTTCTCATCTTGATGTCTTTACTGCTGGGTATGGGAAAGAGGTTTCATGTATTTGGGGCAGCCATAGGAGGGGATGAGAATATGTGTTTCTGTGACAGAACTAGGAAGGAGCAGCCATAAACATGGCACTGTTTTATTTTGGCCATTTAAATAATTGAGAGAGGTTGTACACATTAGGAAAAGGTACCTTTGGGAAGGCCTGTGACACTTGAAGGGTGGGAGGGGCTGACGTCCAGGTTTGTCTTGAATATCCCAGTTTGCAGGTTTGGCTCTGGGGCAGGGCCATGATGGAGCCTCCTGTAGGGCCCCACTCCCTTCACTGAGCTTGGAATGGCTGCTCGCTGCTGTCACTCAGCAGCAAAAAGTCTTACTTTTTGTCAGGCTGAGTGTGGAGTCTCATCCTCCCCAACGAGCTCGTCAGACTGAGCATTTGGACCATTAAGCATTTTTGGAGCAAGGAATCTCTCCACCTGGAGTACTAAGGAAGGGAGGCAAGGGGATTTGGAGAATTGGTCAGCATTAGGCTTTGACTTCGAGACTTTGCCCTTCAGGTAATATGGAGTTACCCAGTGGGCATAAAACCCACTGCCCCAAAGTAGCACTTTTAAGCTCGATTTCCCTTTTCCCTAAGTTTTTATACTGTTGTTATTGTGTCTGTATCTATACTCAGCTTGATGGAATTGTGTATTTTTAGGGTATGGTATTAATGACCTTTGGAAGAAGACAGTTGAGTACCTGCTGTAGATGTTGGGGTGTTTATAGGAGAGTGAGTGTTCCCATCTCACTTCCCGTCGTGGATCCTTTCCTGTCCTTCTGCCTACCGCCGTCTGCCTCTCTGGGTCTCCTCTGCTAATCAGGTGTTCTGCACAGCGGGCAGTGGGAGGACAATGTAAGGGTTACAGGAACACACTTGAGGTTAGTGTGTAAAGTTGGACTCTTTGAGTTAAATGTGGTTGTGCTTTCCGTGTCATTCGCCCCATTGGTTACGGGAAATCAGCTTTTCCCTCTTCCTCTTCCATTGCATGCTGTTCTCTGGGCGTTAGGCCTGCCAGATGGGTTCTCTTAAGGACTTTTCTTTCTTACATCTTTTTGTTAGAACATCACTCTCTCCTCCACCTCCAGCTTTTCGGACAAGGTTGGGTGACTTAACGAGACCTCTCTTCCCTTGTCTTCTTGAAGACTTGACTTCTCCTGCTCCTAAATGTTGGGTTTCTCTGTCTCACCGGTTAGCGGATTCCTGGTGTTGACATGCGCACAGCAGCCTCTACTCAAGGTCAGGTTGGTTTGGAGTTTCCTTTCCGAAAGGGTAGGGCTGCTCTTGTTCTCCGAGACATATTTATACATCTTGCTTACCCATGTGTTTCCATTTCTTTAGTGTTTAGGCTTCGCCTCTGAAGTAGCCTGTTCAGTGTCAGGTGGCCTTATTTTAGTTCTCTTTTTGTGCTGGATGTAGCACATGTGCCTGGTGGGATTACAGTTTTTCTGACTGCTTCTGAGGTAGCCCATCTTGTGGTTTAACTTTTTTTTTTTTTTTTTTTAACCACTCTCTCATTGCTGCGGGCCGTTCTTCATTTCCCACTTCCCAACATTCAGGAAAATACCTCCTTGTGTGCAGTTGTCCCGATTTCTCTGGGAAAAGCAATGGAAGGTGATTCTCATATTCTCTTTCTTTCTCCTTGTAGTTGTGTCTTTTGCTTCCTTTGGGAGATCTTTGAATTTGTCCTTCTGGAGAGAAGCTGTTTTGGCCCCCGTATTCCATCACTGGGCGCATTCATTCTGGAGACGGTCGCTGAGCGTCTGTTCTGTGCAGGGACCTGTGGTGGTGATGTGACTGCTTGAGGTCTCAGGGTGGATGACATTTCAGTGTTTCTTGTGCTTGTCTTTTCATATATTCTTTTAAGGAATTCTTTTCTGAACTTTAATTGTTTGGATTGTAATCTTACAAAAATATACTCGAGTGGTGTACTATCCCACTGAACTCTTACCCCTCCCTGTAGGACTGGGGGTGTTGGAGTGGGTGGAAGGCAGCGTGAGAGGCATTTAACAGCTTTCCCTCAGACTATGTGTAGGGTGTATGTAGAAAAAAGTAAGGTCAATCTTTTAAAATGGCTAGGCTTAACTTTTAGGTCACTTAGATACACGGTTGGTTGGAATGCTTGTTTAACATTTGAACAGCAGCATACCAGGTATTGTGTAGAACGTGCTAGGTATTGTGTAGAACATAAAATGAAATGCATCCTTTATAGGAGGAAGGGGGAGAAAAATAATTTCCTCCTAGGATGAACTGGTATGTTTCATATCCTCAGATAGTAAGAACTGTATGAGATGCTGTTAAATTTTTGCTGCCAAGTGTTATATCTAAATTTATGCCTAATTGCAGTGACCATTCTTAGGCTAGGTATCTGATATAAATTATGACAGCTTTTGTTTATTATGTGACTTCTAATACTTTATGCTTTCTTTAGTAGTACTTTTATTTGTGTCTTGTCTTTCGGGGGGAGTAAATTGCCTCTGATTATTTCTGGATGTAGGTTTGGTATACGGAATGATGACAATAGTAATAAAAAATTAACCTGAAATGCACTTTTTTTCATTCTGTATTAAATCGGATTTCCCCTCCACAATGTTTGTAGAAAACCAGTTCTAGTATTTCACGCTTAAGAACTCTCGTTTAGGGTTGTTACAGTATGTGGTTTGGCAGTGTCCTTTATTCATGTGAATATATGACTGAAGGTTTTTTTTGTGGTGACAG